ACTGTGAATGCAATACTTCTTTCTTTAGGTTTCGACCTTCTCTTAGATTTTAACCAGGAAAATTTATAATAACTTGTCAGTTCTTTTAAGAGTTAGAAAATATTTCATCCTACTTGTCTTCAGGAGGACGACTGATTTGAATTACTTAGTTCATAGTTGCTGAAAATAGAAGAACTTTTTAAAAAATTATATACCTTTTCCTTTATGTAGGTATACATGTACACTGAGTATACACTTACAGGCTATGAGGAATATGTTAATGCATAGATATGTGAATATATTTGATAACAATTTAAAAAACAGGATGATCTTAAAATTTATGGAATAATTTAAAGAAACGTTGAATGTTCAGTTTTTTCCCACCTCATAGCAACAAATGGAGCTAGTAAATTGTGACCGTTACGTGTTGTACTAAATATATGCATTCCTTTGCCAGTAGAATTGTCAAGAGAACAGTAATTAGTGTCAGTATATTTCCTGGCTAAGAGATCTGATTGTTTCTATTAATGGCTGAAGAAGATCCCCGCCTTGGTATTATTAATGAAGTAAGAGAAGTATGATTTCATTTCATCAACGGGGAAATATTTATGCCCGGGGGAAATAAATACATTAAAAAAGCAAAAGCAAAAACACCAGCCTAGTTTGTATTGTGGATCTTGAGTGTGGGTGGGTCTATGGCCAATTTCTGTTCTTGCCATCAACACCAAATTCTCTTCTCTTGGGGTTCAAGACAATAAAAACAAAAAAGCCTTCCATTTTCACCAGTGAATTTCAAGTGTTACAGTATGTCTAAATATGTCGTCGTCTTAGGACAGGCAATATAGGTAAAAACCCTTTTGTCTCTAATTTGGTATTCTAAAAACACTAAATTCAAATTGAAAATAAAATATTTTCAATTAAGATGAAAATAAATTCAAATGAAATTTGAATTCAATGAATTCAAATGAAATTAAATGAAAATAAAATAAAATATAAGAGAAAGTTAAGTGTGGAGTTATGCTTAGAGTTTTTGAGTCCTGTTTTTACATGGATTACAACTAAAGAATATATGAAAAAAATAGCTAATACATATACATACATATATAATTTAATGACGTCAAAAGGTGACTTGGTTATTTGATTAAATCACTCAAATGCACTTTAAAGAAATTTTAATTAAATCCATACCACAAGTATTTCAAGTTATCATTTTTCCCTGCTGCATTAAGTAATGTAGTCTCAAAAATGCCTTTTTCCTTTTCTTCAGTGATGTGAAAGTAGTTCTAATGTCCTAGAATTAGTAGCCTTGAACTTTCCAGGTTTTTAATATTTATTTATTTATAAAAGACCTGGGGTGTAGGCTAGAGGTATAGGGGTGAGAGGATTCACCAGAGACAGAGTAGGGAACAGAACAGGCAGATTGACTGAAATACACTGCTGAGGGGAGCAGCGGGTGAGACAGGAGAGGTCTCTGCGACCTAAGTGGGTTAGCTCTCTGGCCAAGGATCTAACTCAGGCTGTAGTGGTGATAGCACTGAGACTTAACCCTTTAGGCCACGAGGAATGCCCCTATTTCCAGTCTTTTTAAGTCTGACAGAAGCCACTTATTTAAAAAAAATTGCACAAGCTAATGAAAATATTGTTTCTTTGATTGTGGCTGGTATATTGGTCCGATGCTGATTAACACAATGTAGAAGTTCTCTTTGACAGCTATTTGCCTTTGATTAATAGAAGTGTCATTACATAATGACAGCAATCAATATATTTGACAAATAAAGGCATTCAAAATATATAATGCAAGGGCATGAAATATTTAAACTGTTTCCTGGTATTGAAAAAATTCAGAACTACCCTAAAATACCATAGCTCCCAGTATCACACTCTCCTCCTTTCATCCCTCTGCTTGCATCATCTATGAAAACCACGTTCCAGTTGTCACAGGATTCAAGAACCTTAAATAATTACTGTCAATTCTGTAGGACAGGTCTCTGTTTTTAGATAGCTAACTTCCACAACTTAAAGCAATCAGATTAATCAAGGTTTGAAGAGGATTTTTTTTTTTTATTTGGGACCCTCACCGGCAGCTGGGGAACGAACTGGCGCTGCAGAGGCTGCGGGCAGCCTCACAGCCCAGCGCTCAACTGCTGTGCCACCAGGGGAGGCCCTTGAATAGGATCTTTTAAGGGCTTGGCCATTGATGCCTCGCATCCATAGAACTATCACTACCCTGTAAATTACTCATCAGTCCTCCCATACCGAAGTAGAATCTATCTATAAAGAAACTCACTTTGTGTAACCTTATCAATGTAGTAAATTTAATTTTCATCAGTTTGCTCCCATAAAAGTAAATAACTTCAAGTCTTAGACCCTACGTCTTTCAAAAATGTCTGTAATTATCCCATTAGATTTAAAATATGTAGGCATGTTTATTTTTTCTGCTGTTGTTGCTAGATTATTTTGTCATATTCTCAAAAGGAAGTACCCATTACTAACATGAGAAAACTTGTCCACAGGAGTTTCTCACATATTTCTAATTTGTGCTCATCTTTGATAAACCAAAATCTTGAGGATTTTGTTATTTGATATTCTACAATTTAAGTAACAAGTGATATGACAGTGAATATGCTTTTTAAAACTACACCTCAATCCCACCACTTTTTTAAAGGTGGAGTGTATCTCTAGATTAAATCCAAATTTAGTTGTTATAGTACAAATTAAGTCTTCAAACAGCATTACCCTGTAATTTCCAGGCCACCACTATTATTATTTCCTGGTTTGTTAATAAAAATAGTGGTCAAGAAGTTGATTTTTTTTTTCTTTGCAAAGCAAAACTTAAAACATCCAATTTGACTATCTCAGAACAATTATTAAAAAAGCCCAATCTTAAAAAGTCTGTGTTTTTTATGGCAACATTTTAACATGTCTTTATATGAAAGATCTAAGTTGCCTTGCTTTTTGCTTAAAGTCAACCCCATGGTAGATGATCATTCTATTAGGCTGGCAAGTTTATAGACATTCCCAATTCTGTTTAATTCTAGAACAATTCAAATGGTATACATACAAATAAAAATTGGTTTCTATACCTGTGGTGTCCAAGTTACCTTTTTAATCAGTGAAACTTAGCATCCTGTTTTGACATCCAATCAAATCTTGGTAACCAGTAATGCCTTTTTCCAGATGTTTTGTATTAAAATTTATGAAAATTAGCAAAGGGTCTGTGCCTGTTACAATTTGAAAATAAAGATGCATCAGATAGTGGAATAAAAGCTAATCATCAATATTAGCACTCCAACATAGCCATGCTTACCAAATAACATTTATCAATGAAATTGCTAGTGAGCCGATTTCTACCCTCACATTCAAATTCCTTAGCTTACTTCTGATTAGTTCAGAATGACATTTTGATACTAACTTTACTACTCAATCAAGTGATCAGAGCACTTAGCCTTGGCATTGTCAAATTTACATCAAGGTGAATTAATAGGGTTTAATCTGAATTAAAACTCTTATCCAAAGCCCCTTAGAGAAAAAGTGCATTCTCACTCCCCATTCAGTTCTTTGTAAAAGATCTCAGACGACAATGTCTAGATGTAGTTTATTTCTTTAGTCATATATATCAAGACTTGATTGAAGTTTGAATTTTGTTTAAAAAGCTTTTATTCATTTTTGATCAGGGAAAGGACAATGTTGTCACCTAATCATAAATTTTAATTTACAGGATTCATTGTCCTAAAGACACTCACCTACTCACTTTGACAATTTGAAATTGAAAATCTCCCTTCTGGTCCCTAAATTGCATGTTAAGAAACAGAACCCCTTGTAATAGCCAACACTGGTACTTGGCCTATGTGTAGTAAAATAGCAAAAACAAAACAAGGCCAAGAGCACTGTAATTTGATAGCCTAGCAAGTACAAACATCATTGGAACAAAGTTAGTTGCAGGCACCAAATAAAGGTTCATCAGCATAAAAAACTTACATTTGGTTGAAAGTGAGGCCAACTACTCTAAATGTGAACATGTATGCTAATCCTAGTGGCAAACATGGAACCAAAGAAAACATAACCTTAAATGATTACTACACTGAATTCAAAGCCTGGATTTACCCAGTAAAAACCCAAAACCTAGAGCTGTAGCTGCCTAACTTTCAACGCATCAGAGAGTATCTATTAACTTGGCCATACGTCTGCATTCACTTAAGATTTTATGTATACTTTTTCTCACCATTCCTATGTCTAAATATGTATACGCTTAACTAGCTCATGCACTAACTGCATCAATGATGAAACTTACTGACTTTAAGAACTCACACCACAGAAGTTAACACCCAATACAGCTTCCTAAGGATCCCCCAATAGAAAATATTTTGTTCAGTTTGGTGCTTATTGTGGTGTAATACCAAAACAAGTAAATTTACTGTACCACTACTTCAAATATCTTCAACTTTTTTTGAAGCCTTAACCTCATACCTAGCCGCCAAAATCCGTGTTATAACTACTTGACACTCAAACCACAGCTCCCATCAGTTTAAAAGTTGCCTTTTGTTGTATTTACTGAGAACAATTAGGTTGCGGTACAAGATCAGCTCATCTTCTGTAGCAGACCATTAAGTTGGAAGTATTTACCAAATCATTAACAAACGGCTTTCCAAACAGAAACAAAATCTTTTCTATTCATAAAAGGAGCTAACATGCTTTACGCAGTTAAAACTTTTCCTTAAAATATAATCCGTAAGACTCATTGTCTACTAAAAAGCTTCTGCTTATTTTTAATACTACAGACTATGTCATGGAGACTTAAAAAAACAACAAAGTCCCCAGCTTAACAGGGAAATGAACCCTCAGAGTGTAAAATACATCTAACAAAAATGGGTAACAGGTCAACACTGTAGCTGGCTATTCATAAAGGTCCACAGTTTCTCCCTATGGATCAATACTTCCTACAAAATAAACTGTGCCTTAATTATTGCTTATTTAAAATTACACTTTTACAGAGCTAGTTAGTACCTGACGCAGAAAAACAATCACATAAGGAAGCATTTATTTGAGGTTTAACAGGAAATCATACAAATAAAATTTGTATAAACACAAATCCACATTGAGTCATAACACAGATAGCAAATGACAAAGTAAAAACAAAGAAAACTAATTGGCGGCTATATACAGTTGGACACAGTTGTGTCTTGTACACTAGAAAGTCTTTTACAAAATTATCATCTTAGATCAACAGAAGATCGATCTTCGATGTCGTCCTGCAAGATGGGTATACTTTAGCATCTCCTCCTACGAACAAAAACAAAACAGCAATTAGATATGTGCAATTCTGACAAGCTTTCAAAGGTCCACTTTCATGAATTGTTTTAAGTCCTCACTTTATTCTTTTCGTCAACAATTAAAGATCACATGCATGTTTACTGGCAAAATGCAGTTTGGGTAATTCATAAATTCACCCAGATTTTCCCAAATGGTATTAAATTTAAATCTATTCAGAAAAGAAATTGGGAATGCAATCTTCCCACCAGTCACAGGCTGAACTGTGGTAGATCAAGGTCTACTAGAAGAATCTCTAGTAAGCCAAACGAAGTACAATCACAAATTTCTAATAGGCTTTTTGTATTGCAAGGAAACAAATTGCTCTGTGCATATGATCTTTAATTTATATCCCAGATTTAAAAGTTCTTGTTTTGGTTTGTAGATTTCACTATTAGCTATAAAAAGAAAAAGCAAGCATTAAATCTTAAAGAATGAACACTTAAAATGAGGCTCCACAATTGAAATACAACACTAAACAGAAGACCAAAAATGATTAAGCTGTAAAAAGGCATTTTATGTACTTTAACTCCTGTAAAAAACCATTTAAGTTAAGTTTAGACACTTAATCTTCAAAAAGATTAAAAAAGAAGCCAAAGTCTGAAGTTTTCCACTTTAATCTTTACGCTGGTACATGAAGTTGGAAGAGACCATACCACAGGACAGCGTTTTCTGGTGTATGCCTTGCGCTCTGCCCGCAACGTGCGACCCCCAGAGATAGACGTGGTCAGGGTGACACACGGCCTGCAATGAAGTTCCCGCTGGCGGGTACAAACAAGGTATAATGTCAGAGTTAGAAGACAACATTCTTGTTTTCCTTAAGTTGTACCCATTTCAGTACTTTACCTGTTAATAGTTCTAAAAAAGTTTAATTATTCCTCTAGACCACCTGGTACACAAAGCAAACAGAAAAACTCTTAAGTTTTTCTGTAATACTAAAGAAAGTGAGATAAGACTTTAAAGTTAAAGATCTATAGACACTTTAGGCAAAACAGGCTTATAAAGCAATTAAAAAATTAACAATTTAGTAAAAACAGGCTACATAATATTTTGTTTTTACTTATTTTTCATTTGTCTATTGATCTTTAAATTAAATTAGACACTTCCATTGGTTTCTTGGACTCTTGTACACACCTGTTTTTTTCAATGTCCTCCTTTAGTACGGCTGGTAATTGTTTTGATGATTGCCACCCCCTCGAGATGCCTTGCCGTAAGTGCTCTGTTGGCCTATTTTGAAAAGACAAAGACATTACATTAAGACAGGTGTCTGTAAAAGGACTTTGCTATTTTAAAAACAATCACACAAAACTTAACATGCCAAGTAAATATTAAAATTTCATACATTTTAAGTTATTATAACACAGCCATACGTTTATCACATATTCCAGAACGATTGACACCAAAAGCCTCCCTAGGACTTTAAACCCTCCAAAATGTAACCGCAAACTTTTTTATTAATGGTAAAACACAAATACACACAATTTCAAAACGGGATTCTACTTTTAACACTAAATTATAATACCATTGGCATATAAAATTAAGTTAAATATTCTTACCACTGTAGTCTGCATATCCCTGTCCATATCCATAGTTCCCATAGTTATACCCAGTATAATCATATCCGCCATAGCCACTATAGTTTTGATCACCACCATAGGCACTATTGTAATTTCCATATCCTTGATCATAATAGTTATTAAATCCTTGGTTCCAGTTTTGGCCCTGACCTGAAACAATGCACAATGATTGTTAGGAAACAACTTCTGACCCCCAGTCCCTAACATAAAACGATGTGCTCCTGTCACTCTGCAGATCTTAAAAAGGCAAAATAAACATGTATATTGACATGTGCTTGAAGGAGTATTTTTCCAGTTGTCATTAGGGGGGCAGAAAGTTCAATTGTGCCAATACCACGCTTCCCACAGATAATGCAAAATCAGGACAAAGGTTAAGATGTGTAGAACGTCTGGCTTTAATACAAGGACTACTGCAAAAAGAAACTTACCATGCCATGGTGTGTCATATAAGCCTAACTACATATAACAACATTGTATTTTCCCATGACTGAGTGGCAACACTGTCAGGAGTAGCCATTCCTCGAAGAGGAGAAGTCAGTAAACTCACTAAGAACAAAATCCACCCACCAAGGTAATCAACTTTTCACACTGGAAGAATTTGAAATCTGGATTTACTCTCTCATGGGCTTACCCATATTTAATTTATAGCTATAATCATCAAGTCATTTCCCAGGAATTAAAGTCTTACCTCGGCCACGACCCCTAGTACCACCTCGTCCACCAGCTGCAGCACCTCTTCCTCCTTTCTGTTGTTGCTGTTGCTGCCTATATACCTCTTTGGGTTGTGCAACTTTGATTTCACACTATAAAGCAAACAAATAAAATTGTTACTAAAGTTCTGACAAACTCCTCTCAAACCAGATTGAGAAACTATCCCACTAAAGTGAAAAGTCTCAAATCCTTTAATTATAGAATCAGCTTTACCTTCCCAGAACCAATTTGATGATATCTGCTTTCTAGTAATTTCTTCACTGGCTCTTCGTCTGTGTATGTGATAAAACAAAATCCTCTTCTTTCATTTGTTTTAGTATCCATGGGAAGTTCAATATTTTCAATCTGAAAACAAGATGAACATTCAGAGTTTCATATTGCTACAGGTCCTTTACACGCTACCAAATAAACATGTTATTCTCATCAGGTAAGTTCTGCTTTATTATCAATGTCAAGCTATTGATAGAATGATTTGTGTTATGTATAAAGCACTTATTAGAAAAGAATGCAAAAACTTTAGTATGATTTTTGTGCCCAGCACATGCACTGGTTAATAAATCCAAACACTGATCACACCAAAGATCCAGGTTTTGGCCAAAATATAGGAACCAGATATTGCTGTTTAATTAAAATACCAATTAAAAAAAAGTGATTAAGGTACAGTCACTGGAAGAGACCTTTGAAGTTTATTAATCCCCCTCTCGCCAGCCATCTGAACTACTTACTACAAAGAAACAGACCTAGGATGAACATATAAATATAACAATCACACAGCGCACCTCTCCAAAGGCTCCAAAGTATTCTTTAATTTGTTCTTCAGAAGTATCTGGGCTTAATCCACCCACAAAAACCTTCTTGGGGGGCTCCTTCCCTTTCAAAGCTTTGGCCCTTTTAGGGTCTATCAATTTGCCATCCAGTTTGTGTTCTTTCAGTTCCAAAACCTAGAAGACAGATTTATTTAATCTAACAGCAATGTAAAACCAAATCTCAGAACTTGCCAAAAAATGAAAGCCCAGAGAGGCAGCACAAAACACGACCCTACCTTATCAACACTAGCAGCATCTTTGAAAAGCACAAATCCAAATCCTCTTGATCTTCCAGTGACTGGATCTGTTTTAATTGTGCAGTCTACAACTTCCCCAAATCGAGACAAATATTCAGTCAGATCTTTCTTGCTTGTGTCCCAGCTCAAGCCTCCAATAAACATTTTACTAGAAATAAAAGTTATTTCTTTTTAAATGTTAGCAGCAGCGCAAACAATTACTTCAGTTCTGGGGTTAATTAGATTTAGCTGTGAATCAAGTATGGGGTAACTAGCCTCCATGTGCAAGTAATTTAATCCATGTTTATATATGCAAAGGAACGAACAATAGACACAAAATCCCCCAATTTCCATCGGACTCACTAAATCTGACAGTGGACAGTTTGCCCTGCACGTTGCATAGCGCAAAGTTGAAGAGAGATTAACGAAGTGTCTAAGGTCGCTTTAGGTAGAAAAGCCAACCTAACTCATGCCGGCCATTTAAGTCCTTCCCCACCACTCTCCCTCACTTGTCAAGCCAACGTTCCACCTAGAGAGCGCATCAGAACGCGTTCTGGGGACGGGGTACCAGTGTTCTACAGTTTCCCAAAGCAAGAGTGGCCTAAACTCCCAAGGAAAACGGCGCGGAACACCAACAGAGACACAATGAAGAGGCGGCGGCAGCTGCAGCATGTGGCGCAGCGAGGCCGGCCCCTCCCCCTCGGGCCCCACGCGGCGCCTGCGCAATCGGACGGACGCCGCCGCCCTCCTCCTCCAACTCCTCCGCCCTTCCCCCACCTTCCGCGGGCCTCACGAGTCACCCCTCCGTCTCCTACTTTCCTCCTCTCTTCTAAGCAGTGGGGCCCAGCGGGCACGCGGGGCAGTCGGAGCCAAGAATGGGGGCAGCGCGCGGCTCCCGAGAGACGAAAGGCGCGTGCGGCGCGCTGGGGGAGAAGGGAGAAGCGTGCGGTACCCGTCATCCTGCTGATTCTTGCTCGCGTTGATCTTGGATCCCTCTGCGAATTCCTCTATGTTGCTGTACTCGTTCATGTCCTCCATGGTGGCGGAGTTGTCGGCCGGGGGGTGCTGGCGCGCAGTCCGTGTCGCGGCAGCAGCGGCGGCGGAGCGTTGTATGGAGCTGGATTTAAAATGGCGGCGGAAGAGATCCGGGCGCCGCCTGCGCCCTCCCTTTATAGCCGCCCCGCCCGCCAATCGGGAGGGCTGCTGGGCGGTGACGTGGCGCTGGGCACGGCGCGCCCCCTGCCGGGCGGAGCTGGGAGCGAGCGAAGGGAGGAGCGGGGCCAGCTGCCGCGGCGCCCGCGGCCGCCAATGGGAGAGGCTGCGGGAGGCTAAAGTAGCGGGAGCGGAGGGAAACAATGGCGGCGGCACATGGGAAAGCCGGGGCGGGACCTCCATCTCGGCCCTCCCGGCGAGGAGCGCGTCGCGGGCTGGGGGACGCGGGCTCGGGAGGAGCGCAGCGTCAGAAGAGAAAGACGAAGGGGAGGAGAGTCCTGGGCTCAAAAATCCCGAGCGGCGTCGTCGCAGGGCCACAGTCCCTCTTGCCTTGCGAGCCCGCGTCTCTGGCGTCCGGTCCAGCCCACTCCCAGCAAAGAGCCGTCCACCCCGCCTTTTTCCGCCCTCGGTTCCCCCGAGCGGAGCTGCTACGGCGGCTGCCGGGAGCGATTAGCACCGCGGCCAGGCTGCTCCGGAAAAAGGCGGACTGCGCCGGGCGCCGGCGGCTGAGGCGGGGAGCGCGCCCGCCCGCCCGCCCGCCGCGCGCACGCGTGTTTTGTCCTGGAGCTGGCTGGAACCAGCCGAACAGGAAGCGGGCGCGCGGCGGCCCCTCCGGGTGGCGGCGCGGCGCGGGCGCCTCTTGCGCGACGGCCGGGGGCGCGGTGGGCCTCCCGGGCCGATCGGCCGGAACCCGGGCCAAAGCAGGCAGGCACGCCCGGCCCCGGCTCGGCCTCTTCAGCGGGCGGAGGGCGGGAGGAGGGGCGCGGGCCGGGTCGGATTACTGTCAATATGCAAAAGCGGAGGCAGTGGGCGGGGAGGGGGAGGGTAGGTGCCGTAGAGGGCAAGGGGCACTCACATCCCCGGCGCGCCACTCGCGGGGCTCCCGTCTGCACGTGCCCCGGGCCTCTCCCGCTCGCTCAACCAGTCTGCGGAGAGCGCGCGCCCGCGCACCCGGCTCCCGCGTTCGCTTCTTTGTTCCCGCCCACGCGAGGCCCATTTTGACGGATCGGGCTCGAGACCCGCTGGCGACCAATCGGCGGCGGCGCCCGGCCCTTCCGCCCCGCCCCCTCGGAACCCGGCTGGGGCCGCCCCCTCGCTCGGCCCACGTGGTCTCGGCCTCCCGCCCCGGGCAGTTCGCGGCTGTGGGGTCCCTGGGCGGCAGCTTCTCCGCGGGCAGGGCCGCGGTAGCTCCCCCTCTCGCGCCCCGGCTGCGCGCGGTGTCCGCCCCGAGATTACCGCGGGGCTGTGGGCAGTCAGGACAGTGCTGGGCGCGCAGCCGGCGCCGCCCGCCGCCCTCCCCACCAGTAGGCCGATCCCCGTGGTAGCATCCGGTAGGGAAATGGTCGTGCTCTCCGTGCCCGCCGAAGTCACTGTGATCCTGTTAGATATCGAAGGTACCACAACCCCGATTGCTTTCGTGAAGGTGAGGGGCGGAAGGGAGCGGGGAAGTTGCTTCTACTTAAATACACTGGGAAATTTTTATTTTATTTTATTGTTTTTAGTGTTGCAGACCTTGCACTAGAGACACGAGGCTCTGGAGAGGCTTTGGTGTGGCTTTGCACCCGCTGTGGGATGGGAGGAAGTAGACGCGTGCGGTGTGTTGTGGGGGTGCTTTCTCCCCACTGCTCCAGCTGCGCCCTTCCCATCCCTTGCTCTTGGTTAGATGCTGTTGGGTGGGAAGGGATGGAAGGTGGTGGGGAGAATAGGCCGAGAGGGCCAGGTTTGCCCTGACCGGGTGAGGCGATGTGGGCGCCCCCAGCCGGACATGTATGTACCTCGTCGCCCGGCAGGGGAGCGCCGGGTTCGTGCAGGATCGAGTCTGGCTGGAGGGCGGCCGCGATTTAATGGTCCTTGAGGCTTAGTCCTGCAAAATGGAAAGGCTGAGGAGTCAAGATGACCTCGGAGGTAGCTCTGATGTCTTGTCTTGGTAAAGGTTGCTCTTCGCCCCTTCCCACTTGTGCTGTTGTTGGTGGCCGGCCTGCACAACGTTTGTTACTGGGCTGGGAGTGTTACTGGGCTGGCAGCGGTGGAACCCAGCGCTGGTTTATTCAACTATAGAATAAATAGGTCTAGATACCGATCATTTTCTTGCGAAAATTATGGAAGGGTGACGCTCTTAACCAAAGCCTTGCTCCTAGGATGTCATTGTTAAGCAGTGCTTTCCCACACCTAATTCCCAAATTTACAAAGTTTGCATTATGGTAAAATAGTATAATTTTTAAGAGAATTTCTCAGGCCTAGTTTTCGACGTCTAGAGGTCTAAGATGAAACACCTAATTAAAAGGATTTGCAGGCCTCCCTGGTTAAGATGCAACCTAGGAAGCTCGCCGCAGCCATTGTGGTGCGGGTTCAGTCCCCGGCCTGGGAGCTACCCACATGGCACAACAGACCTCTCCTGTCTCGCCCGCTGCTCCCCTCAGCAGTGTTTTTCAATCTGCCTGTTCTACTCCCCGCTCCATCTCTGGTGAATCCTCTCACCCCCTACACCTCTGGCTTGTACCCCAGTTCTTGTATGTATGAATAAATAAATCTTTAAAAAAAATAAAAGGACTTGCATGCAGCAGTAGTTAAGATACGTTCACAAAGAAAGGGAACTTCATTCTTCCACAAGCTAAGGAATCTGAATTGAAATGTCTTTAAAAATTACCTGTGAAGAATGTCGATTTTCTTGGTGTAGGTTATAATATATTTTGTAGGACTACAGTGTAACAACCACTTACAGTTTTTTTTGGAAGTACCTCAAATATCTTGATATGGTAGCAAAGGGGTTTTTTTTTGTTTTTTTTGTTTTTTTTTTAAAGCTTTATTTATTTATTTATGCAAGCACTGGTTACAATCGGCAGTCCGGGAGGGTGAGAGAATTCACCAGAGCTAGAGCAGGGAACAGAACAGTCAGACTGATGAAATACACTGCTGAGGGGAGCAGCGGGCAAGACATGCGAGGTATGTCGCGTCATGTGGGACCCTCGCCCCGCCGCCGTGGATCGAACCCGCGCTTTAGAGGCTGCCCAGCGCTCCACCTCTGCGCCACCAAGGGGGGCCCGGTAGCAAAGGTTCTTAAGCGATCTTGTTTGGCATTTTTTCCAAGTTTCTAATCACAGCAGAGGGCTCAGAAGAAGTATTCAGCATTGCACAAATACTGATTGAATGGACTTTTTTCCTTGTTGATTATGACAGAGTAACTACTTCAGAGAAAAAATTCTTTTTTGTGGTTTAGATTATAGTTATTTCCATTGTAGCATTTTAAAAATTCTTTTTGTTTATGCATACAAGAACTGGGGTGTAGGACAGAAGTGGGGGGGCGGGATGAGAGGATTCACCTGGGACAGTGGGAGCAGAACAGGCAGATCTACTGAAATGCACAGGGGTGTGTGTGTGGTGGGGTCTGCTGTGCTATGTGGGTCAGCTCCCTGGGCTTGAACTCATGCAGCAGTGGCTGGCAATAGCTTAATAGCGCTGAGACTTTAAACCCTGCATCAACCAGGGAGGCCCCCATTCTGGCTTCTGTATTTGTCTTCAAGAGACCAGGAATGACAGAAGGGATATTGATGTGGTATAAACTATTTGCCATTCTTGGAAAGTTATTTTAGGGAATAAAGTATTTCCTGCATATCAGTTTTGATAAAAAATGAAACAAAAGAAACCACTGCTCTCCCACCTCATGTATTTTCTGTCAGAGAACATCACAAGCTACTTCTTGGAATCTTTGTTTATAGCATATTAATTTATACGTCTTTCTGAGAGTCATTAGGGAAATTCAAGACAGACTGCAAAAAAATAACCTGGGAATCTTGTTTAAAAGATAGTTTCTTATTCCCTGCTATATCTATTATTTTTCATTCATAGTCATGGTTAATCTATTACAATCTAATCTGTTATTAATTTGTTACACATTAATTTACCAAGGCCAAAGTTTCTAAAAGTATGTTCTGAAGAATTTTAGGTCTCTGTAGATTATTGTAATTATTCAATGTCCATTGTCAACTGTACAGGTGAGATGCGCAGGAGGGTGAGAGGATTCACCAGACTCAGAGCAGGGAACAGAATAGGCAGACTGACAAAATACACTGCTGAGGAGAGTAGCGGGTGCATCAGGAGAGGTCTGCCGCGCCATGTGGGATTCTCGCTGGCCAGCCGGGATCGAACCAGTGCTGTAGAGGCTGCGGACAGCTTCACAGCGTGGCACTCAGCCGCCTGTGCCACCAGGGGAGGCCCTATCAACTGCACTTTTGGGAAGTACTGGGTTCTCTCTGTTCAACCAGGTGTCTTTATTGCACAACTTTTCAGGGCCTATATATAAATTATACGCTTGCATGTATCTCTGCTTGGTATTTCACTGGTTTACTTACCAAAATGCTTTTATCAAGAATGTTTTGGGCCTCCCTGGTGGTGCAAGGGGTTAAGCACTGCACTATGAAGCAATCTGCAACCTCAGCAGCACGAGTTCAATCCCCGGCCAGCCAGGGAGCAACCCATATGGCACAGCTCACCTGTCCTGTTTTGCCCACTGCCCCACCTTAGTAGTGTATTTCATTAGACCTGCCTATTCTGCTCTCCTCTCTGTCTCTGGTGAATCCTCTACCCCTGTTCCCCAGTTCTACTCAGAAATAAATAAAACCTTAAAAATGTATATACCAGGGACTAATCTTTAGGACACCTTTTAAAGATATGCTAAATTATATCCTTCTTGAACCCCTGAGCACAGAGTTGGGAATTGGTAGGTGTTTATTCTACTTTGGGCTTTAATAATAACATTGCATATGTGAACTTACAGCCTTGCTTCTTGTGGAGTGATGAGAGAATACAAACCTTGAATACAGTATACGTGCAACTTGTTTACTCGACTCATCCTCAAAACTGTGATGTTTGTGATTTATCTGCATTTCACTAAAGAAAACTAAAGCTCTGAAAAATTGAATGTGTCTAAGTTTTGAACCCCTATTGTTTGACTCAAAACTGGATTCTTCTGAAATGGAAACCATAGTACTTGATCATCATCTTTGCTTGGCTGCTCTGCATGTTAAATGACAAAATAACAAAGTTGATATGAGAGCACCTTGAATCATTTGATGAAGTTAATGAAAGTACACGGTAATGAATTTCAGTTTACACTATCTCTTGGTGATAGAATTAGTAGTGAATCCATTGGACCAAAATAACTATAGTTGAGTCTTTCTTTGGGAGTTTGGCTGTACTGTATGTGTATATTGTGAAAACTGACTGTTGTCAAACATTGCCCTTGAACACCCATGAGAAGTCAGTTCTCTGAAGAGACTGAGTTTCTTTTCTCAGTTAGTCATATGCAGCCATTTTTCCTTTAGTGTTGAAATATATCTGGTATTTTCCCTTGAGCGCCGAGGAAGTAGTTGGTTTGGGATTAGGCGATGTAAATGAAAAATATATTATGTCAAACATTAGCCTCACTTAGCCACTCATACTGCTAGAGACACTAGGGACTGAGACTGTCGCATGAAACAGAACACCCTCACTAGAGGAGAAAAGCAGACATTGCCAGCACTAACTTGGTTGTTTCCTCTCTTCTCTCTCTCTGCTACTTAACTCGTGGAATATGCATATGAAGCAACTGACTATATTTCATGACACCGAGTCCCATATATATCTTACAGGACTCCATTGAATCTTTTCAGTCTGGGTGTTCACTTCTATGGACATGCATATGGGTTGCGTTCTATCAGGGCATGTCCCCATCGCCTTCAGGCAACAACAAGGTGTGATCTTACTTACGAGCTATTTATTATGTCTTATTTTCTCTGAGTCATAGAGTTGTCAGGAAGGGCTCCTAGCCAGGATCATCTAGTGAATTGCAGCCAGCTTATTAATTTCTCTTAAGAGTCAATTGAGGGCCTTCCCGGTGATGCAGCGGTTGAGTGCTGGGTTGCGAAGCTGCCCGCAGCCTCTGCAGCACTGGTTCATCCCCGGCCACCGGGTGAGGGTCCCACATGGCGCGCAGACCTCTCCTGCTGCCCTCTGCTCCCCTCAGCAGTGTATTTCGTCAGTCTGCCTGTTCTGCTCCCTGCTCTGGCTCTGGTGAATTCTCTCACCCTCCCTTGCCTCTGTACCCGGTGCTTGTATAGATAAATAAATCTTAAAAAAAAAAAAAATAAGAGTCAATTGATGCCTGGAAGAAGAGCCTATGTGAAGGTCATCACTACTTGTTAGAGGCAGAGCAGCAGTAGAATCCAGTTTTCCTGAGATATTCCCAGTGTATCTGAATCTTCAGAGATACTCTGCCCTGTCCCTTGACACAGGACACATGACTGGAGCCATTGGCTCTGACCTTCTATAGTGGTGATCTCCACCTTGGTCATGTCCACCATCAGTGGAATTGGAGTAAAAGCTATACCAATATAATTTATAAATTGATGCACATTTTGTGTCATTATTAAGTTATAAAATAAATCA